AAGGCTACTTTTATCACATCACTTGTTCATAGCAGTGTTTACATCGCTTCTGCGACCTTACTAAGATCGATACTTGACAATCTTGGGAGAATACCACACTTTCGCATATCAAATTAACATAAATTTGGTAGTGGCTCCTTCTGCAGCTTGTGATCGATTCAAAGAGTGCTATAGCTATGGAATTGTTGGAGAAGTTCAAGTTGGGAAAGACAGTGTGGGTGAAGCGCTTACAAACGGGAAGGACGTCGTTTTTTTCACGCGGATTCACATACCGCAAACGCCCATTTGTTCCTCGAGAGGATTATCGCATTTGTAGACTGGACCATTAGTTATGTTGGCTCGGAAAACAGTGTTGGAGTAGGAATATATGTTCGCTTTCCTCAGCTGAGCTCAGGAGTGAACACAGTGTTGGAGTATATGTTCGCTTCCCTCAGCTGAGCTCAGGAGTGAACACAGTGTTGGAGTATATGTTCGCTTTCCTCAGCTGAGCTCAGGAGTGAACACAGTGTTGGAGTATATGTTCGCTTCCCTCAGCTGAGCTCAGGAGTGAACACAGTGTTGGAGTATATGTTCGCTTTCCTCAGCTGAGCTCAGGAGTGAACACAGTGTTGGAGTATATGTTCGCTTCCCTCAGCTGAGCTCAGGAGTGAACACAGTGTTGGAGTATATGTTCGCTTTCTTCAGCTGAGCTCAGGAGTGAACACAGTGTTGGAGGAATATATGTCCGCTTTCCTCAGCTGAGCGCAGGAGCTTTCTCACTAGTTCTAACAGTTGCGGTAGAGGAACCAACGGGGATCTCCTCAAAGTTTCCTCAAAATCTCCTCGAGATTTCCTCGAAGTTTCTATATTGTCGCGAATACATGTAGTTTATCATGTGAATACTTCCCCAGGAGGGTCCCAGCTTTACACTACTCGAGATTATCAATACTAATACTAATGATACTCACATTTTTATGACGATTCGTTGTGAACCCTTCAGAGCTCTTGCTACTGACCCGCATTCATACATGTGCTCACGACACTTGTCGCTGGATGAGAAAATAGTTGTTGCTCAGGCAACTCACAGATGAGGCGATTCTTGGAGTCACTCCTGGTTTGGCGACAGTGTATTCGGTTGAAGCAGGGCTACGTGTTCACGATACTGGGAAGGGAATTGATCAGAATGGGAGTGTCGCGCATTACAAGAACTTATTCGACGCTGACCCGGGCGGAGGTCTTGTCATTTGGATGGAACATAGTGAGTGAATCGAAAGTATTGTCAGATCAGTGTTGAGATATATGTTGCCAGAGTTCCTTCGCTGATCATAGGAGTTTGCATACGAATCCGGGTCGAGCCAAGAAGAACTTCTCAACATTTCCTCAAAATTTTCCTATTATCACCAACATGCATAGTTGACCATAGCATCTCAGTGATGCTGTTCATGGATTCCTAAGACCAGCCGGACTCGACACCTGTGATTTCCTATTGATATCGATGAGCTTTAGTATGCTAGTGTCCTCACGATTCGGGTTTATCATGCCTATCACCAGAAGCGGTAGCAACATCAGAGTCATGTGTCTGTGTTGGAACGCATGGAAGTGTTATTCCACACCGCCTTTGGCAGGTGATTCGAGACCATTTCTGTTTGTTTGCATTCGTGACGAGAACGACCCTCAGCGACCTGATGGGCGAATTCATATATATGATACGACTGATCCTATGCGCGATGTTAGATTTGTAAGCACAGTGCGTCTCAATTTGATGAGTACATGTGTGTGTTATATTCCGAGAGTAACGAAAATCGATATAAAAGGCATAATGTAAACTTTGCTATGAATATGTGATGAAAGTAACCTTTCGAGACTATGATAGCGACAAGTTGTTCACTATCATTAGTCCCGGAATAGAAAACGTACATTACTCACATTTTCTTCTCGAATAAGGCAAGTGCTGTACTTTCCCATCGTATTCTCTGCCGAATAGTGCTGAGCAGTCTTCTAAAATCTGTTCTTTTTGTCAGGTATACACCGTCACTGGTGATTTGAAGTGTAGAAAGAACGACTTCCATGATGTGCATATCATTGATAACAAAGTCACTGACGCACAATGCCCTGGTGAGTACAGTGTTGGAGTAGGAATATATGTTCACTTTCCCCAGCTGAGCTCAGGACTCAACACAGTGTTGGAATATACGTTCGCTTTTCTCTGTTGAGCTTAGGCGTTTCCTCACAGTAGTTTGTCTGAGGATTCGGGTAGAAGTTTTCAGAAACCTAAAAGATTTTCCTGAAATTCCCTCGGACTTTTCATGTGTAGTCAATTATTCAAATATCCCCCCCCCCTCACATCCGTAGCGATTTCATTCAATTGCAACAATATTCGTATTTTTTCAGGAAAAGATGATTCGCAGATGTATATTACTACCGTTCTTGACCCGCTCGACAAGAACAGGATTCGCTACTATGACACCACTGATATACGAAGTAGGTCATCATCGAGAATTTAGACTTGTTAATTTGCTCATGAAAAAATGAAACCAATTTTCGTAGTGAAACTGAGCGAACCCTCAGTGTTTCCGTCTAGGTTGGAAGATGGTTCACGAGATCCACGCTGACTGGGAGTATGCAACAGATGGACTTGGCAATGTTCGGTGAGGGGAGACGAGCGCCTTTGGCTAGACATATGTATGATAT